GTAATTTATACACTTATTCGAGCTTTAAAATAATGACATTTTGTTGTTCTTTTGATAAATTTAGCCTAATCTTGTATATATTTCATTTATTAGGAAAACTCTATGATTGGACTTGGAATTGGAAGAAATAAGGAAAATGTTGTGAATATTGAGAAATCCAACGTTTAAGGACCTAATTGCAATTTTCAATAGTTGATTCAAACCAAGACTAAAAATGTTACTGATTTTTGGGGTAACAAAGGGAAGATACGACTAAAATATATTAAGAAATCATTGAAAATGTTCAAATTTTCAAAAATCTTCTTCAATTAATCAAAATTCAGGCGATATCATACAAATTAGTTGTGATTTCTTGTAATTTTGTAATGTTGGGCTAATTTTCCAATTACCAAGACATTGATGTACCCTTATTATGAAGTGTGTAATATAAATTCAATAATTTAACGCCCAATACATGTTTATTCTTGGATGATTGTTATAGAATTTAATGACTTTTCAATTATTTGATCATCAATTGGATTTATTGTAATTTTTTATTGATTTTGAGAGGGGCAATGGAAAAAGTAGCACTTTATAGCAATTATTATTTTAAAATTCAACATGGAATAGAGATAATCATATACTTTACATAATTTTTATAGATGTTCTAGCATTTTTAATGCATGATTTCATATTCGCATCTTTCATTGAGATATATGAATGTCATTTGAGAGGATAAATTTAATTGACAACAAAATATTCTTTTAATTACCTTAAAGAACATTAATCAACAAAAATGTGCACATATGGCATGTTATTGATTTGCATTGAAACGGATTAATAAGGAGGATTTAAAGTCTTGGTAATAACACATCGAAAAATACAAAAGCGTCATAAATTGCTCAATAGAATAGGTATAGTTTAATTAGTTGGTTTGGCATAAAATTTTCAACTAAATTTACTATTCGATTAAAATTAATATTAATTGATACTAAATTAAGTACTTGGTCCTCCGTAAGAACGATACTTAATTTATTAATCATTTTATTATTTGTTCGCGATATCGTACACTTGTGAAGAATTAAATGATCAACATCATTAAATGTTTTGAATCTTTTATATCATTTTAGACTTTACGTTTAACTAAAATTCTAATATTCATAAAACACATTTTCAATTAAAGTCGAAACAAAGTAATTCAAATGACAATTATTGGCGCAGTGTATTTTAATTCCAAAGTATCATTCCGTCTTTTTTTTTTTTTTTTGATAATCTTTAATGTTCGAATTTAGGGATTGAAGGTGATCTGATTATGAGATAGACTATTCAATGCCAGGGATGACAGGATATGAAATTCTCAAAAAGATTAAGGTTAGTGA